TTCAACAGCCTCTGTGCACAAAAGGTTAGGGCCAGCAACCCTTGGGGGGTTAGGGTTAATGCACAGAAAGCAATATATGCATCACTTAAATTGCTCCATCATGCTGAGTTCGGAGCTTTAATATGTTATATAAAAGAATGCTACGTAAGAAATAAGAAGTGAACAACAGACTTGTATATCCTGAGAACATGCAAACACCATCACAAACTAGAATCAAATGTTTTGGCAGAATGGTGCATATGTAAAAAAGCAGCAATGTTGTTCTTAATCACAAGATAGGAAACTTTAATCCTTCTCGAGGTCCTACAACATACACACACCACTGATCCCCAAGTTACACTGATTGGATAGGGCATTGAGACACTGAAGGTACAAGGCACTATCTTGGGAGGCCAAATTTTGCTCCTGTCCATGATGGTATATTAGTATCCAAGAGATCAGTCACATGCCTTCAGCAATTAGCTAATAAACTTTCTAACAAGGGCACCACTTTTCCCCCCAACATTGATAATGTTTTCAAGTTTATCGGTGTCGTCTGTTATCTGTGATTGGGCCTCTTGGTGTCAAAACTTGTTTGCCCTGGTTGGATGACATTTTGCAGACCTTCACATCTGACTGATCTCGGGGAAAAGGATTCGCTGCTCTGCAATAATATCTTTGTTTTCAATCCTTATAAATTTTGCCAAGCAGTGATACATGTAACCCTTATGTGCCCCCTCCAACAAAACAGAAAAATTAAATGCGGACCCAGAATGATATGCTTGGACATTGTATATATAAACTAAATTCTTTGACCTAAATATTAGTTTAAGAGGAAGAAAAAAATTGATTACAAGACCACATAAACGGATGTTTATATTGATTATAAAAACTTTTGATCGCTACTGAGTTTGTAAGTGTCAGAGGTTTTTAATGCTATTGTTTTTAACGACTGCGCACACATGAGATTGTCAAATGCTAAGTAGTGAATTCCTAACTTTGTCTTGCATAATGAAGGGATTATGCAGTACCTAAATTATACATCAGAGTGAATCAGAATCATCTGAATCATCATCATCGTAATCATCTTCATCATTATCTTCGTCTTCACCGTCAACAGCAACAGCTCCATTCTCCCCCTCACCTGAAGCGCTCCCCGTCTCTCCCTCATCATCGGTATCAGATGATACAGTGGCACCGCCTTGCATTGAGGAAGCCGCCATGGCGACGGTCGCCGCGGCAATCCCATCTCCATCTTCCTCCTCATCCTCACTGTAGTCAGAGCTCTCCCCTGAGCCAAAAAACTCAAAGTAATCACTCCAAAGTCCGTGGTCCTCAATGTCACTGAAGTCGAAATCATCCGACCAGTCATAGTACAGAAACCAGTCGTCATCGTCGTCACTGTCCCAGTCCATCACACGGTTTTCCCTCTCCTCGAAAAAGTCCCACAGAGACAAGGAGCGGCAGGTGTTGAGTTTGCCGTCCCCACTGCTGAACTGGCGTGCCTTGGTACGGTCCTCCTTGGTTCCATCTGGGTAGGCATGGAGGTAGAAGCACTCGGCACCAAATGGACAGGTTCCAGAACCCTGCTTGAAATACTTGCACTCTTTTTTACTGCAGAGGAACCAAAAAAAAAGGTCAATCAAGACTCTATCTCTCAAGGGACTTGTGCTGAGAACCTTTCTGAATACTTAAAAGCCATTTTCAGCAGAGGACCCAATAGCACATTCGTTGCGTTTTTCAAGTCCCATGTAAAGTGAAACAACACTGGTTGGCATGAACTTTGCTTAATCTTGGTGAATTTTCAAGGATCAGATAAGGTTGGTTTACCGATTCTTGTTTTGGTTCTGTCCTGGTTTCCAGAGGAGCAATTAAAGAAATTAACCAGAACATTTTTTTGAGTGCCATTTTTGAAAAGAAAATCACCCACAGTGCCACATTTACCTTTGCAGTGCACTCTTTGTCTGAAGAGGCTAACTGAATATTAAGCTTGAACTTTGCTAATGTGCAAGCAGCCTGTAATGGTAGCATACATAAGAAATATGGTACAAACGCCATTCAAATGACGCTGGCAAATCAGTATTTGTGGTATCTGCAGAACCTTTGGGACGGCGCTGTGTGTCTGGGGGTATCCCATGCCTGGCATCCTTAACCCTAACCCCCAAAGGGTTGCTGGCCCTAACCTTCCCCATTCACACAAAGTTAAACGTGGGACTTTGTGAACAGAGGCTATTGGACTTTGTTTTTCTGAGATATGCCAAACCCAATGCAAAAGCCAGCTGTTATGGGCCTACCAGACCTATCCCCACAGAATTAAACACTTTTCTACTGTTTAATTCTGTGTGGTTGGCGAAGGTTAGGGTTAAGGGATCAGTCAGATAGACTGTCCCAGTAAAACAGCTCTTATGCAGTGTA